GATGACAGTACTACCAACTATATATATATATATATATATATATATATATATAGATATATATATTGTGTTTTTTATTAATATTGTTAATTTATTTGGTACCTACTATAATTACCACGATTATTACTCCGTTTTCATAAGGCCCACCTAATGACCACAACGATTAGGTAAATTACGATATTGCAAAGTTTTAATGAAATAAATGAAAAATGTGTATGAATATTTTAACTAATTGTACTAAGAATTTTTCTTTCATTCTTAACCCTCAAAAATTAATAAGCACGCCCCCGATTTGCTGTCAACTGGGCTTACTTATACTCTCAATCATTATTGGTTTTAGTATACATTAAGAAGGTATGAGTTGATATGTTCTTTTCCAACTGTTGTACACAGAAGGATTTAGCAAATACAGGTCAGGAAACGAGTACTTCCCAGATATTGTATTAGATTTGGCAGATATATATAAAAACAAGATACCTGTACTTTATTTCTTTGTTTTTGATATTTTTTAATGGATTAGATAATTCAGTAAGAGATCATGTATGCAGAAATTAACAACCCCACATATCGTAGCTTTTCACAGAAAGGGCAAAATGAACACTTGCACAAAGCAAACGCTTACTGACTGTGCATATCATACAGACCATACAAATACATTACATTACCATTCCTCCTTCGATATATTTAATTTTTCGTTATATTCAATTATTTTATCAATTCAAAGTACCAGTTGAACTTAAGTTAACAAACAAATCTATTTTTAAAAAGTGAAAAACCAGATATAACATATACAATAGAAATATGTAATATCTGATAAAATTTTTGATATAAAAAATAGAATACTGAAACATTGTTTCAAAACACAGTGTATGTTCATAATGTAAAATGAAACAAAAACAAATACAAAAAACGGTATCTCCAATTTTTCACAAACAATTTCAGATGATTTAAAAGAAAGGTTCACAAAAGTTGTAAATCTTTATCTACAACGTTCACATTTCATTTGTTTCAATAAAAGATCTAGTTTATTTTTTCCATATACTCCTAAGAAAATGAATATTTCAGAATGTAATCTCAAAAACATTCATTTCTCTTAACGTTCCTTTACAGAAGAAAACCTGCCAAAAAAAACTACTCCGGCTAGTATCACGATGGACATTTGAATTATATCCAACATATATTTTTGCAAGACATTGTGAAATCTTTGAGAGAACATCTCATGAACAAAACTTTCTCTCAAATGAAGGTTCCATTCATGCTGTTGAGCCGCTCTGAAATCAGTTGAGTTCTAGGCATGCTATTTGGATCCGATTAGAGGTAATACCTCGAGACCAGTCTGTAGGTGATGTACATGATTGATTTTGGCATCGTTCTGCTGCTGGATAACCTAGAAGCATCTGCAAGACTATCCTTTATGAGGAAACTTATCTGTCAAATATAATTCAATGTCCATCGTGGTATTAGATGAGGAAGTAGTTGTTTTCCGGCAGATATTTACCAGATCCTACTATGTAGAAATATTGGGAATGTTTCAAGATTTCGTTTCAAAATATTCATTTTCTTATATTGTACGTATCTCTACTAGATACAGTCATGAGACTAATTTGATTTCTGTCACAGTGTTGGTACATGAGATATTTCTTCCCGGCTTTCAGGGCTTTGTTCACAAGAAGGAGTTGTTAATTTTTAACTAATATTTCTCTCAGAAGATGGTTCCATACATTCAGTCGAGCCACGTTGAAGTCAGTCAGTCCCAAGCACATTGCTATTTAGGTCACATCTTCCCTGCACTGATGAGAGGTAATACCTCGAAACTTGTCTGTAGATGATCTACTCCATTCATTTCAGTGCGGTTCTGCTGCTGGATGGACAAGCAGCATCGGCAAGACTATCTTCTGTGAGGTAACTTGCATAAATGTCTGTCAGATATAATTCACTGTACATCGAGGTATTATTCGGGGAAATAGTTGTTTTTCGGCCAGCATTTACCAGATCTTTCAAGATATCATTTCGAAATATTTAGTTTCTTATGAAATATTTATTTTCTTACAAAATATGTATTTTCTTCGACACAGTCATCAGACTTAGGGTTTTTCTCTGCAAGAATTATTTATATTGGCTTGAAAAGCAATCTGAGGCCTGTGTTCATATACATTATTACTGTTGAATGAATAAACTCACTTGATGCCATCCATCTGCTGCATCTGCAAATTCAACTGAAAGGAGGCCCGAACAATCAACGGCAATCCAGTCATTGCTTCTAAGCATAGGAACATTTCATGTTTTTCCTTAACAGGTTTTAATCCTTCTATAGATTCCAAGTAAAATGGATCTGCTTGATAAAAATGAGGGAAAGATATAAAAGCAGGAGCTCCATACCTGAAACAAGGAAGAGTAATGTAATATTATTCTGATCGGATCATGAAATTATTTAAGCAAAATTTATACTGATTTGCTATACTCTTGCTATCTCTTTTGCTTTTACATGATTTCATATTGAGTGACACGAATCAAAGTCAAAAAAACTCACTTGCAAAGGGAAACGTTTCTAACACCGGACAGTTGAAAACCGTTCGGGACGAAACATTCCATCTCTGGATATTGGGATCCATTGTCGAACGTTCGTGCTCCGCCTACATATTTATGGCCATCTATGCCATGTAGAGTCAATTCCCCATCATGATCCAAAGCTACTGAGCTGAAAGTGCAACATATTTTATATTTGGATTGTTTTATAGATCCGAATAATTTTTACAGTTAATTATGAACAGTATACAAAAATTTACCAAAAATATGGAAGCAAAATCCTGATTCACTACTTTAGCCCCACTTCACCTGGATGAAATTCTCATTTCAGAAATCTTCAGTTACCATTATTGTAAACAAAATACGTAAATGTAAAATAATATAATATTCTCAAACCACTATGAGGCAACTTTCCATCATTCATAAGATATCTCTCTCATAACTATTTTATGAAGAAATGGGAGCGTTGGAAAGTTTATTTGATTCATATAGTCTGTTTGATATTAGATTATCTTTCTTATACAGGGTGTTCATTAAACATGCGGCAAAAAATTAGGGGACTATTCCTTGGACTCTTCTGAGGATATTTTGTCCTTTGATGATTTTTGATAGGGCGCTTTGTTTCGAAGATACGAGGCGAAAAAAAATTTCGACAATAACAATTTTGGTAATTTTGAAATTATTAACTTAGCCTAAATGAAAGTATAGCGTACTACACTGGACCTAACAAGTAACAAAATATCTAACAATTCCGTTGGTACCTATTAACAACATTCCGATTACTACAAACGGCTGCAGACATTCAATTTGCTGGGTGTAACACAATCAGAAACGATCCTGGTGTTTTTGGAAGAGTTCGGGAGTTGATGAGGAGAAGATTGGATTCTCACATCCGTGCTGGGGGTAGTCATTTTCAACAGTTTTTGTAGATTAAAAAACATTACATGTAATTTTTGGTTGTAAATTGTTAATGTCAAAATTCTTTTTCGCTCCATATTTTCGAAACAAAGCGCCCTATCAAAAATCATCAAAGGACAAAATATCCTTAGAATAGTCCAAAGAATAGTCCCTTAAATGTTTAATAAACATCTTGTGCAATTTCGACTCATCAATGTAGTGAAGTCATCAATACTATACAGACACTGATATCTTAGTAGATTTTTGATCTTGACTATGAAATAATTAGGTTATTTTTGTCTTTTTTCTAAGTTCAATAATTTCTGGGTACACAATGACTGCAAATAATGCCATTATTATTAGGGTTGGAAAAATTGGTTTGCTACTTGAGTCCCATTTATCTTCAAAACTGCTTCTTACCGTTTATTACCTTTTGTAAAATGAATATTTGTATTGAATGTATTTTGAGCTGAGTCACCCCAGGACAACACTATATAAAATATAAGACGATGGAATAGTTAGTTATACATAGTTAGAACTGCTTGTTGGCCAACTACATCTCTTATTTTTTTTTCAAGCAAATATAGTCTTTACTAACTTTCCCTCAAAGAGAGCATTTATATGTTCAGATCAGCGTAAGTAACTACCTATCCACATTCCCAGATATTTGACAGTGCTAGAGTTTCCTACCGCTGTTCGTGTATTAGTATACAAGGATAAAGTTTTACTCTCATTAAGGAACAGATCATAGTTTTATAACCAAAGTTGTATCATCAGCAAATATAACTGAGGTGATATTTTTATGAGTCTTTTAATTTGCAACTGTTGACTTCTTTCATTTTTACTTTGAACTATTTGTTTATGATTATATGAGTTGAATACAACTGATAGTCTTGAATTTGTGTAAAGTGAATGTAGCAATATTTATATGATGGAATTGGCTGATACTTGAAAATCCATAACCAATGTATTCAAAAAACACTTTATTGTGAGATTTTCACTCAACAGTTTTACAAGAACGCAACATGTGTTTCGCAATACAATGGCTTCTTCGGGCGTTCTTCACACTTTAGACACGCCCGAGTGAGCCATTGTATGGCGAAACAAGTGTTTTTTAAAAATGGAAGCAATATTTTGTGATCCTTTAACTAACAAAATATTCAAGACCAACAACACTACACAAATTTAATGGTTTTCATGTCAATTGTGTAGTGTAGTGTTTGGTTTCTAATATTGGACATTGCTTGGTTTAGGTACCAGCGCACTTTAAATTTTAAATATTCATTAATTTAATTCAACACTAATTTAAGGTTAGGTTAGGTTGAGTGATATTTTAATTGTGCTATTAAACATTCTTATTTATATTATAGTTTCATTGCCTAGTTGCGCTGGGACCTAAACTAGGTAATACCCTATCTATTGAAAACACTTTTCCATCTCCAGAACAAAAGTTACGGTTTCTTGACGCGCGTTTCGCTAACCAAGTTAGCGTCCTCAGGAGATCATTATGACTGTCATAATGATCTCCCGAGGACTCTAACTTGGTTAGCGAAACGCGCGTCGAGATACCTTAATTTTTGTTCGGGTGTTGGGAATCTATATGAATAAATAAGAATGTTGAACAGCACAATTAAAATATAACCCAACCTAACCTAACCTTTCATCAGTAGTACTAATATTAAATTAATGAATATTTAAAAGTTAAATTAAAGTGTGATGGGGCCTAAACTAGGCATTGTCCAAATAAATTCCTTTTCGAGCGCTTAAGAATCCAAATAAATTCAAAACGTTGACAAGAAAACAATTGTATTTCTAACAATAAATGATCCTGTTACCCAACCAACCTTTTTGGAAAGGGTTGATATTTCTGGTGATAGAGGCATTTCTCAAATACGCCATCGGATTGAATTAGAATTCAGGTTTCTATTTGATATTCAAAGTTGTTTTTCTGTTATCAAATACGACGCATGAATTTTCGAATATCCTTACCTACAAAGATCATTAGAGAAAATTTTTATGGTCTTCGTGTCTTTCGGTGGATACCATAGTTCTCCTGTAGTTCCTTCGACCTTTCCACATTGTCCTTTCCAGTAAGGAACACTATTTTGATAGTTCCAAAATCTTACAAGACCTAATTTGTCGATAGTATCACGGCCATTATTCATATTGAACAGGCCATCATATTCTGCACTGTTATTTCTCTGCAACCATAAAAATAATAAAATAAGTTAAAGTTGTATTGCTGCTCATAGTAAACCTAATGAACGAGCATTATTTTTTGTTCAGAAACAATTTTTGATATCTCAAAAAAAATTCAATTCCATCAAAATTAGTATTCACATGAATGTACATAAGTCTTTGAAAATTGAAAAGATTTCAGCAAATCGTGTTATTGGGTATGTTCATAATAATAATAATATATTTATTTCAATTGTTGAAAAGTACCAGAGACACAGACTCATGGTACACAATCTTTTTGTCTTTATTTCTCAAGCTATTTTTACGAAATTTTAAATATTGAATATACTCACAAAGTTTGATTTTTGAATGAAACACGCTATATACTATTATATTTTTGAAATTAACCTAATTTTCTAAATCTGATGATACCCCATAGTTTTTATTTGACTTATGGATTGGAACACATGGTTCTGTCAGGTGGCCAGCAAGATCACCCGACTTAACCCCTTTAGACCTCTTTTAGGTCTTCGCGGGATTCAGTGAAGTTGCTATGAAACAAAATAAAACAACTTTTGGCGTTTCAATGAAATGTTATCATTAGTTAGTTACTGCATACATTGTTGGAGATCGTATTAATAACAGAAATAATTTGAAAATGCCACAAGTTCATAACAGGAAAAAAAGCCAGCTTATTCATAGGGAATGTCGACATATTGCATTTGCAGTTGTACTAGAAACAATAACCCGTACAATAATGTCGGGAGAGAAATTACTTCAAGCGTCTTGAAGAACAGAGTACACCCCTCGTAAATTTTTTATTTATTTACCTATTTTTCGTAATTTGGCTCAATGAATGTACTCACGAAGAGGCATTTTCAACTTATTTCTGTTATCAATACGACCTCCAACAATGATTTCGGTTACTAACAATAACAGTTAATCAAAACGACAACAGTTGTTTTTTTATTTCATAGCAACTTCCTCAATAACCCGTGGGGACCTAAAAGATCTAAAGGTGTGAAGTCGTGTCCATAATTCAAATATCAACAATGTGGTATCAACAATGTAAATAGTATACAAGGTGTTTCATTTAAAAATTGAACTTTGATGTCTTTTCCAGAAGTTGGAAAAAAATCTCTCGTTGTGATCATATTCAATATTTAAAATTTTGTAAAAAAAAGTTTGAGAAATAAAGAAAAAAGTGGGGTTTACCATGAGTCTGTGTCATCTGGTATATAACAAGAAAAAAGTCAACGTAAAATTACATGCAAATGAATTAGTGAGAAAAAAACACAAACCAAATAACAAACAATGAACAAACAATGAAGAATATATGGAAAGAGATAAAATCATCATAGAAATTCAAGAGAATAGCCATTTTCATCAATTAAAAAGGTTTTCAATCTTGGTTTGAGAATAATTATATTAGGGACTGTTTTTAGGTACTAGAAAAATATTCAAAGAGGGTTGGATGATTATGAATTTGCTAATTCAATAAAAAAAAGTTGATCTATTCTTATGAACAAACATACACAATCGTTAAATATATATTCCAACAAACGCAAGCAGTGTCAGTTTTTTCACACACATTCAATTATCCCTGACCGTTATAATATTTAAAAAAACATACTTAGTACCTAAAAGTCTACAATCCCATCTGCTTGGAAAGACAGGAGCTAAGTATTGAAAATTTGTGGCATACTCACGTCTACAAACCATCCAAATTTCTGAAAAGGCACATTGATTCCTTTAACATGTAATTTGTGTAGCAGTTCCAACATCTCATCGTCGTATCCCTCAAAAAGGAATTCTTTAACAGTCTTCGTAACCACCAGAGGAACTTTTTTCTCTTCCAGAAAAAAATTCACTCCCACTCTGACTAGATAGTGCTTATCCTTTACTAAATTTGCCACAGCCTGAAATCAAGTTGAGAATTAGGTATTTTGCAAAGTATGAATCTGTTGAATTATTAATTCATTATTTGTGACACTTTATATAATGTCTGATATTGAATAGTTTGTAGTTGTCAATTTACTGGATAGTTACAATAGTTGAAGTTGTTGATTGTGAGTGTGTATAACTTTATATTAAAAGTCAGTTTCCTATTTTCATGTATTAACATACACAATAAAGTTCTTCTACGAAAATAAGAGTACAGTAGTTCAGTCCGCTTGATTCACGAACCACAACAGAATCAAATGAAGGGCTTGATAAAAAACCATGTTAATATTCGAACTTCAAGAAAAATCACTTTCAATTTTGATTATTGTTTGGCAAAAATTTAGTGTCAAAGATTAATACTTCCAGACACGTAAACCTATAGTAAAGTTTTAGAGGGTCAAATACATACATGAAAATGTATGATTTTTATAGCCCTGAGGTAAAAAATGAGTTTCAGAACCAAGCTCTGAGTTATAGATGGTGCAAGTGAAAATTTCGAAAAAGCTAGGGAAAGTTTACGAATAGGGCATGTATGTATGACATTTATAATGTCACTAACCAAACGCTGTTTGAACTGCGGAAAGTTCATGAGCCCGGAAAGTCGGTTCCATGCCTACGGAAGCGCAGAAAGGCCACATATTTTTATTATTTGTTTTTTGAAAATTACGACTTTACATTTTCGACTTTTATCTCAAAATTTCGACTTTTATCTCGAAATCTCGACTTTAAAGTAGAAATTTTGAGTTTGAAGTCGTAATTTCGAAATTACGAGATTAAAGTCAAAATTTCGAGATTAAAGTCGAAATTTCGAGATAAAAGTCGAGATTTTGAGATTAAAGTCGAAATTTCGAGATTAAAGTCGAAATTTCGAGATTAAGTCGAAATTTCGAGTTTAAAGTCGTAATTTCGAAATTACGAGATTAAAGTCGAAATTTTGTGATTCTAATATTCCGGAAAACAAAGATGAATAACATGAAAATCTAAATTTATTCATAACCTCCAAAATGGCTATTCAATGAGTGGGTTACTGATTCACGGTTAGACCAAGGCTTTGATGTGTTACTCTTGTATGATTTGTTCTAAGTAAGTATATAAATAGATAGATAGATCTTTATTTGAATTAGGAACCCTAATATGCATATAAGGAGGCAATTGTAATATACAGAAAGAAAGTAATCTGGTGCTACATGGTTTATTATTTTGAATATGAAAATCATAGTGAAATAAAACAGCCTGTTTTCCACTGAGAACCAACTGAGGGTCATTAACATTGTTCTTGTAGGGGTGAGGCGATTTGTTCTCAATATTATTTTCATTCCACGATTTTGAAGCTTCTGGAGCATATTTTACTTATTGAGATTAAACAGATATACAACGGATGAACAATATCCGAGAGAAAAAGAAAAGTAAGTATAATCAAAATGACTATTGAAGTTCAAATCATTGTGGATGCACCGATACCAATTCTTGTAACCGACAGAAGAGGATATCTCAAATTTGTGATATTGTGGAGTTCCATCATTTGGATGGAGCCACCCGGTATATTTTTTAGAATGTTTTTTTACTTGGATGGTTAGAATTGTATGCTGAATAAAGTCAGTCAAGTCAAAACTACGAAGTTATTTGTTTCATTGAAACACAAAATTATTACAGCTATGAAATTGAAGTTTTTACCATGCGGTATATTTATATTATGTAAAAAATAGTTGGTAAGACTTTAGGTTTTCTGTGAAACATCCCAGAATATTTGGCATAAACATTTGAACACATCAGTTACTATATTCACCGAATATGAAACGGATCTTTACGATTTCAAAGTTATATAATGGTGATAATTTGACAGTACATTACATGGACATCAGAGAAAATACTATTGAATTGAAAAATCAGTAAATTCAAAAAGTTATCTATTTTTTTTTTAACACTTACCGCTACGATAGGATTGAAGGTAGTTATCTTATCATCCAAAGAACCTACTGATTTCTCTGGGGCATATTTCCATATTCTTTTATTATAAAAAGTTACTGTGTTATTGTCATTGAAAGTAATGTTCTCCCTAATATGATGCTCATGGTAAGTATACGGTCCGAGCTCAACAAACATTGGTTTTATTGTCCAATTATTTTTAACTTCTTCATAATTAGTCCAGTTGAAGAAACGAAACGCTAAGTACATCGGAATGGGGGTCTCTTTCCACATGGAAAATCCTATGGTTTCTGGACTAGCCAAAGATAGCTCCTGAAAAAACAATAAAAAAGGTAGTAAGATTTTTAAAATGTTTGTTCACTTCAACCTATATTTTTTGAATTTTCAAAATGATTATATACATATAAAACTTTTTGTTGTTCGCAAATGAAATTTTCATTGGGAGGCAGCATTCGTTGTGAATGTGTTTTTCCAAAATCGTTTTCCAACCTATACTGGCAATTTACTTTTAGGAGTTCCAGAAATATTATTATATATTTTTTATTTATGCGTTTACCATTATGGGGGAAACAGTCGTGGCACGGGTAGCAAGGGGCTGTCCTCAGGGGGGGGTTCTATCCCCTCTGTTATGGAACCTTGTACCTAATGGACGAGCTATTATGTATTTTGGACCACAATGTGTATAAAGCACTGGGCTATGCAGACGACATAGTTATCTTAATCCAGGGTAAATACAATAATGTAGTGAAGGGATGCATTCAGCAGGTCCTGAATATTATAACAAGATGGACCGAAGAAGGTCTTAACATAAGCCCATCCAAATCGACCATAGTAGCATTCACCAAGAGGACTAAAACGGAGGGTCTCGGACTTCTAAAACTTCGAGGTGAAGAAATACAAGTGTCGGGAGAGGTTAAATATCTGGGAGTAATCCTAGATTCCAAACTGACCTGGAACCTACANCCCAAGAGGCTGCACTGTCTTCTGGAGACTTGGACTAAACGGTGTACATTTTCATAGATAATTATTGCTCAAATAATTTTAGAAAAAAAATGGAATTCAATGAACAAAATACCCGTGTCTGTTTAAAAAAATCTGTTTTTCCGTTAACCAGCTGTCGCACCCCTACGAACGACAACCCTCAGAAGTGGAAACTTGTGCGAGCCAACGATTAACGAGGTCTTACCTTTTAACGTGTTATTCCTAACACGGTTTGGACGATAGCAAGTGAAGATCGATCGATCAGACTAGGGCTTGAACCACCGACCAACACGGCAATCAATTCGAGTGAGTGAACAAAGCACCCACGCCGAACCTCTTGGCTACCGACCGACCATCTGGATAGTTCACGGTATCTTGGTTAGGGAGTCATTGACACAGAAGAAACTAGATTATTAAGGTGACGCTAATAAATAATCGAAATTCTAACAAAATAAAATGAAGTGTAGATGAGGGTATGTTGAATACCGACAATTACCAATAATGTTAACATGAAATGTGACATCAAGCTTTTTTTTGAGTGTCATTTCGCAAGTTGGCAATATCCTGGTTAGGGTAGCCATTGACACAGAAGAAACTAGACTGTTAAGATGACGCTAATAAATAATCGAAATTCCAAGAAACTAAAATGAAGTGTGGATGATGGTATGTTGAATACCAACAATTATCAATAATGTTAATGTGAAATGTGACATCAAGCTTTTTCTTAAGTGATTCATCTGGCTAATTAAAAAATCTCTGTTTAAAATCTGTTTTTCCGTTATTCAGCTGTCGCCCCCATACGAACGACAACTCTCAGAAGTTGAGAAACTTATGCGAGCTAAGGACTAACGAGGTCTTACCTTTTAACGTGTGATTCCTAACAT